AATGAAAAAATTACTTTTAATAATATATATATGTATATATATATATTATATGTGATTTATTACATATATTAGTTCTTAACGCTAATATTGTTCGAAATTAATAATGGGATGACGTATTATTTTTAGAATTTTACCAAAATAAAATATTTACTTCCTTTGTTCCATTTTATTAGTCATTTTTCCTATTTTAGGATGTCCCTAAATATTAGTTCTATTTGAAAAGTTAAAGTAAAAAATATTGTAGTTATTTGGGATGTGCTATATACATATATATTATTTATTTATTTATTTATTGATAATTGAGTATTCGGGCCAGCACCCCTTTAGAGTGTTGCACCTCGATTAATTTTGGGGTCCTGAGTCGATCGATTAGGCAAAAACGTAGTGGCCCGCCAGTAGCCAGCTGGGGGTTTGGAATGTGCTATATAAGTGCACTTTTTGATTTTTTAGTTAAAAAAATAGAGAAAAAATATGTATGTTTGGGATAACTTTTTAAATTTTTATGCAAATATGTGTAATAAAATATTATAATAAAATCAAAATGACAATTTTATCCTTTTGACTTTTAACTTTTGACTTTTTGGATATTTGAATTCAAAGGGCAAACTAATAATTTTGCCCTAGTGGCTTCCCCCACAAGTTATCCTTAAATAGTGTAGATTTTTTAGTATTTTTAGTAATTTTTTGACTTTTTAACTTTTTATTTATTATCCCAAACAAGGCCTTTTCCAAAATCATCCTTTTTAGAGAACTAGTAATATATTAAAAGTTGAAAAAAATGACATTATTCGAATAAGTGCTCTAAAATTTGAATTCAAATACAATGATTCAATATCTTCTAAAAAAAAGTTCAAATTTCCAAAAGTGACTATCAAAATGGAACTGAAGGAGTAAAAATTTTGGAACGAAATGCATGAAAGTACATACTTTGGAGAGTGATAAAATAAAATATATATTTTAGGAACCAAAATGTGGTAAATTTCATATTTTGAGACCATGTATATTTTTGGTAAAATATACATATGCATCTTAATAACTTTTGTGATATTTAATTATGATTTAATTATGCACATTATAATATTGGTTATAACTCATTGTAATATTTATTATGATATTATTTTAAGTATAATCCAATAACTATTTGCTATATTTTATGTGATGTTTAGTTATAACTCATTTTTTTAATTATGACTCATATATGATTAAATTATGACATTTATGATAATCAAACTTATAAATATCATAACTTACATATGATATAACCTTAGAAGGGGTTTACTATAACATTACTCCTTATTTTCCTCCATTCTCATTGATCAATCTATGTTTTTTTTACTTCCCACGAAGAAAATGGTTATACTCTTACATACATTGTGTAGAGAAAAAAATGTTGTGTTAGGTTCCAATAAGTCCAAATGTTGGGTGAAACCAGAAAATCTTCAATTCGAAAAACATCCAATTAATCTTCCTACCTTTTATTGACTTGTCACAAAGCAAAAATTCCCATTTTTTAATTCAACTTTCAGCCCCGTTTGTTTGGAGAGTTGGAGGGAGAATTGAGATTGGTAGTGAGGTGGGACCCAGTAATATTATGTTTATTTTAAGATATGGAGAGGGGTTTAATAGTGAGCTCCGGATAAGGATGGGTCTCTCCAAGGGGATTCGGATGGGCCTCCAGGACTTGGTATTAGAAAAATAATCCGGCGGACTATAAAATTTTTATTTTTATTTATTTATTATTTTATTTTTACATGTCGGGCATTTTTTTTTTAACATTAATATTTAATTTTTTATATTTTTTGTAAGTAAAAATCATTATTTTATTTGTTTTATTTTTTTTTGAAATTATTTTATTATTTTTATTTTTTTAAAATTTTTTACATGTTCGGTATTTTTTTTTAAAATATTAATATTTAATGTTTTTGTATTTTTTTTATTGTTTTATTATTTTATATAAAAATAATTTAACAATTCTACACTAATAACTATACTCAAAACAAACATAAATTTACTCAATCCCCTCACTATCAATCCTCTCCATTCTACCTCTAAAAACAAACAGGCCTCAAGGATTTCATTTTGATAGAGATACAGTGAGATTTATATATATATATATATATACACTAAAACAATAATCTCCAACTCAAAATTCATAACTTTCTTCCAAAAAGTGGAATACTTCAAATCAACCACCAAAGTGGTTCAACCCACTCGACCATATCCACACTACCAAATTTATTTTCAAAGTCAAAGTACACTCATACAGAGCAGAGCTTCCCTGTTTGGAATTATGGTTTACCCATCCAATTTACTTTTCTTATTTGGTTGGTTTCTTAATTTTTATTTTTATTTGTAAAGGGTATCCATCGCCCCTACAATCTTACCTGCTGTTAGAATTTCAAAAACAAAAAATTTAAAGGTTAGAAATTTATAATTTATACTTTACATTCATCCATAATGATATGCTAAGAAAATTAAATTTTACATGAATTTATAACAAATTAAAAGTTAACCCGATAACTCAATCTTTTTTCTTCTAGTAAATACATACAATCTTCACCAAAAAAAATAAATAAATAATTAAAAAAACAAAGTTTCAAAAAATATTAATTTTTTTACGTATATTTCGATTAGGTGCATCTAAGATATATTAGGTGCATCTCATAATAAAACTTAAAATATTAAATTTTTTAACTAAAAAAAAAATGCAAAAAATAAAAATAAAAATAAAAATTTTATGAAACCAAACAAAGTGATAGGATTAATGATACCAAGACCACCTCAATTATTAGCAAATATCACTTTACTTTTTTATCTATAAATTCATATATTTTTTACTCCCTCAACTATAAAATTATGAGAAATTTAGTCATAAATCTCTTAGGAGACTCTTATCTTGTCAAAATGACAAGAATTATATGAATACTTTAAAAAACCCTTAGAATTTTAAAACATCATTTTTATCATTCTAATAGTTACTGTTTGTCTCCACTATCTCATATGAGATTGATAACCTTAAATTTGAGATTTATTACTTTAAATTTAAAAATCGATAGTTCGTTCTCTCTCTCTCTGACTTTGTTTCTTTCTCTCATTCGATTCCCCATATATCTCTCTCTCTCTCTCTCATTCATTCATTCACTCATTCCCCTATAAAACTTGATTTTTTGTTCCTTCCCTTTCTTTTTATTTGTTCACAGGAGAAATTGTAAATTTTGCTCTAATTTAAAGTAAAATTTTACTTTGATTCAATAAAATTTTGTCCTTTTAACAAAAAAGGGGACCTGTGTGGGAGTTTTGCAATGAATTTTTTTTTGTCCTTTTAACAAAAAAAAAAAAAAAGGTTTAGGAGACTTGTGGTCAAATCTCTCTAAAATTATATCACTTTTACCTTATCTAGACCACCTCCAAAAAGAGTGTATTTTTATGATTTTCGTAGTTTACGGAATTAATATGTATGGGTTCATAAAACAAATAATAGAAATGAATTTTACTAAACGAGGGGGCTCTGTGTTACTAATCCAAAAGGGGAAAAAAAAAAATTCTTACAAAAAATAGATATATAATCTGTAACTGTATTTATCCAATTAACAATCAGCCTAATCAATTTTTTTTATTTTAAAGTAATTGGCCCACAATACCGCCACATCATTTTATGGAGAGGTTTTAATTTAAGGTCCATCATATTATGATTTTATAAGATAACTGATATGTTATATTTTCATAGTAATTGAAATTTCTCAATATTGTTATATTTTTAATTCTTTACAGATAAATTTCAACTCTTCACAAATAGAAGAACTAAAATTTTTCTAATAATACTATTGAGAGACCTTAATTAATACGAAAAAATATATTAAACCTACATTACTACCCAAAATTGAAGAGAAATATTTTACTAGTTTTCACACACACATATATATATATATATATATATATATATTCCAAAATAATCAAAGTTAAGATATTTGCATTGACAATTTGTCTCGTTACCCATAACTCTCAACCACCAAGTTACCCAAGTTGTTTTCATCCAATCTACCCATCTGGCCATCTCCAATTCGTTAAACATATGACATACACACCAAATCAGCAAATCAAAATTGAAACACAAACAATCTTTTATTTTTCAAAATTTTTTTCCTTAATATTTTAATATATATTTAATTATGTATTAATTTAAAAATATAATTTAATAATTACAAATGTATCAACACAAGAAAGAGATAATCCCCATTTAGGTATGGATATACCATCGAATTTAATTTTCAAAGTGAAGTACACTTCTCATACGGAACAGAGCATCCGTGTTTGGAGTTATGTCCAAACTACCAATCTCCTAACTTCTCACGCATATACATATACAAATACAATACACACCCACCAAATCACCAACCCAACAAAACAAAATCTATGAAAATTGTAGTATTTCCTAACTTCCTATTTCCACTCCCTTGATCCAAACACCACCACGTGTTGCCTTTTTCCCAAGTTATGGCCGCCCAAGCGGCCTAGCTGTCATCCCCAACCATCTTTTGACACGTTGCGGCCAACTCCCGTTAAAGCAATCGTCAACTCTAGAGCGACGCACACAATTTTATGATGGGTTTGGTTAAGTAATTTGGAAAGAAATTTAAAAATAAAATATGAATAAAATTTTTACGTTTTTTTAAAAAGATTTCCTAACTAAACACAACTTTAATGTTTTAATGTTAGAATAATAGAGAGAGAAAAAATAAAATGTATTGTATTGAATGAATTGTATTGAATAATTGTCCTATACAGGTCTGTATATATAGACTGAGAAAACGTATCCTATTAAAAATCTAATTATGAGAATGAATATCTTATAAGAAACACAATACTAATATATTTAAGAAATCAATACCTAATATATGTAAGAATATATACCATATATACATTATCACTTAAAAAAATAAAATAAAATAAAATAAAAACTCATACTTATAATTATACCTATAGATATAGGTAGAGAGAGAGAGATGAAGAGGCCGCCCTTAGCTCATAGCCCCCACCCAACCAATAAACTTTACGGTTTAATGAAGCCAACCTTGTGTGACTCTTGAGACACTTCATTATATATAACACACTAACCAACTCAACAGAACCCAAAAACAAATAAACACTTTCTCTGTTTTTCTCACAAAAGATGGACTGGACCAGAGGACACACCATCGGCCGCGGCTCATCTGCCACCGTCTCCACTGCCACTTGTCGTTGTTCCGGTGACATTTTCGCTGTCAAGTCGGCCGAGCTATCGGATTCTGAGCCATTACAAAGAGAGCAGAAAATTCTGTCTATTTTGAGCTCTCCCCATATAGTTAGCTACATTGGGCATGACATTACTAGAGAGAGCAACAAGGTTTTCTTCAATTTGTCGATGGAGTACGTCTGCGGTGGCACGCTCACCGATGTGATTCGAATTCACGGTGGCAAACTCGATGAGCCGGTGATCGGATTTTATACCCAACAAATTGTTCAAGGATTAGAGTACATTCATTCAAGTGGCATAGCACATTGCGACATTAAGGGTCAGAACATTTTAATTGGGGAAAGTGGAGCAAAAATCGCTGATTTCGGTTGTGCCAGGTGGCATGGTGCAGTGGTGCCAATTGGCGGCACACCCATGTTTATGGCACCTGAGGTGGCTCGTGGGGAAGAACAGGGGTGCCCTGCTGATATTTGGGCACTTGGATGTACAGTCCTTGAAATGGCCACTGGAGGGTCACCGTGGCCTAATGTCACCAACCCAGTTTCAGTTCTATACAAAATTGCATTTTCCAGCGATTTACCGGAAATCCCAGATTTTCTCTCTAGCCAAACAAAAGATTTCTTGGGCAAGTGCTTGAGGAGAGACCCGAAAGATCGGTGGACCGCCAAACAGCTTCTCAAACATCCATTTTTTGGAGAATCTAAACTTGATCAAAAGCAAATTCCGGAATTTAATTCCGGTTCTCCAACAAGTATACTCGATCAAGGCATTTGGAGTTCAATGGAAGAGACAGAGACTCACAAAGGTCATTTGAATTCTCAGGGAAAATTGGTGGGAAAGTTTTCTTTGCTTTCTGGGGAACCAAACTGGACATGGGGCGAGAATTGGATCACAATTCGAAGCAATGAAAACGATAGTAGAGAAATATGTGGGTCAGTGACAGCTTCGAATAGTGATGAAATGGAGCTGGAAAGCTGTGCTGGTGGTGAGGAAGTAATGAATTTCACCGACAGTAAAGTTAGCGGTAGTAATAATAATAGTAGGAGTTTAATGGACTGCACGTGTACAGAAGATAGGGTTGTAATGAGCAATCTCAATTTTGGGAGAGAGAAAGGGTTGTTACTCATTCAATCTCAGTTCTTATAGTAAATGTTAAAAGTTCTTAGTTCCATTTCATGTCATGGTTCAAGTTTTTCTTCACTCTGAATGCTCTATATAGGAAGATATTAGGTGTATATTGATTCGACCCACACACATAGTATCATCAGTCGATAAATAATTTTAAATAAGATTGTACGAAATTACTAGATCGGTTAAGTTAGAAACAAAGTTTTCTTCTGAGAAGAGTTAATTTAGTTTCACTTTTTAATTTTTTTGGACAAATTTGGCCTAACCAAATTAGTTCTATTTAGAAAAAAAAAAATGTCTTTTTTTGGTTTGGATGTAATAATTGTAAGAGGAAAAATGAAATGATTATGGTTTAAATGTGATATTTTGTCTTATGAACTAAATTAATTTATTTGATCTATTTATACTTATTTAATCACTTTAACTCTTGCCAAATAAGTCGATCTTAACACAGTCGTTAGTTGATTTTATTAATTTTTGACATGTCGAAAATTATCTTGTTGATAAAGTGTTTTGGTCTAAACTTGAATAAAACAGAAAAAGGAAAAAGAAGACTTGGAATAAAATGGGGTTAAATGACAAAAATCAATTTCCACGTGGTAATACCAGTCTCATGGTTTTTTTGTATTTATAGAAGAAGAAGAAACCTAGAGGTTTGAGGATTGGGAAGTCAACCTTCATGGTATATTTCCCAACAAGTGTTTTTGGCCATATTCAAATGTGTGCATCTAAACTCAGAAAATATTGTGATACGCAGGGTCAAATGGTGTGTATTATATATATATCTGTTTTATATATTTTATGATAAATATTAAATATTTTTGTGATAAATATTATATATTTTTATGATAGAAATTACGATAATTTGTGATTAAGAAATGAAATTATACATTTTATGGTAGTATTATTTATTGTTATAGTAATTTTATACATTTTTTTATCCAAATATTTTTTAACCTCAAAATAATAATACCAAAAAAATGTATAATTTATTTCTCAATCATAATTTGTTGTAATTCTTACTAGACAAATATGTAACACACCATAAAAGCACGTAATAATGTGCATATGGTATATATCTGGAAGACTGTGTACCATAGAATTTTTCCTAAACTTTTATGTCAATTTTTTCACAACTCTTAACTAGTTATGTTAAGAATACTGCAGAATTTTACAGATCATCCGTATGTTTAACTTTTCTTCATCTTAAAAGAGTGTACAACTAAAGGTTAAAGTCAATCATAAAGAGTGTTTTGGGAAGAGAGTTAAAAATTGATTTTTTTGAATTTTTTTTAAATTTTTTTACTTTTTATATGAGAAGTGATGTGACTCAAAATGGATTAAAAGTTGACTTTTGACTTTTAATCTATGTTTCCAAATGATCCCATAGTATTCTAAAGTAATAATTTTGATTATAATTCAAAATAACAGAAGGCGGCGTTTGGAAACCAAACATTTTAGTCATAAAATCAAAAAATAATTATAAATTATTAAATTATTACCTCTATTTTTTTATACATCTTTTTATAAAAAATTTAAAAACATCCCTACATGAGTTTTCTCGTTTATAAGAGGGAGACTATGAAATGATTATGGTTTAAATGTGATATTTTGTCTTATGAACTAAATTAATTTATTTGATCTATTTATACTTATTTAATCACTTTAACTCTTGCCAAATAAGTCGATCTTAACACAGTCGTTAGTTGATTTTATTAATTTTTGACATGTCGAAAATTATCTTGTTGATAAAGTGTTTTGGTCTAAACTTGAATAAAACAGAAAAAGGAAAAAGAAGACTTGGAATAAAATGGGGTTAAATGACAAAAATCAATTTCCACGTGGTAATACCAGTCTCATGGTTTTTTTTGTATTTATAGAAGAAGAAGAAACCTAGAGGTTTGAGGATTGGGAAGTCAACCTTCATGGTATATTTCCCAACAAGTGTTTTTGGCCATATTCAAATGTGTGCATCTAAACTCAGAAAATATTATGATACGCAGGGTCAAATGGTGTGTATTATATATATCTGTTTTATATATTTTATGATAAATATTAAATATTTTTGTGATAAATATTATATATTTTTATGATAGAAATTACGATAATTTGTGATTAAGAAATAAAATTATACATTTTATGATAGTGTTATTTATTGTTATAGTAATTTTATACATTTTTTTATCCAAATATTTTTTAACCTCAAAATAATAATACAACAAAAATGTATAATTTATTTCTCAATCATAATTTGTTGTAATTCTTACTAGACAAATATGTAACATACTATAAAAGCACGTAATAATGTGTATATGGTATATATCTGGAAGACTGTGTACCATAGAATTTTTCCTAAGCTTTTATGTCAATTTTTCACAACTCTTAACTAGTTATGTTAAGAATACTGCAGAATTTTACAGGTCATCCGTATGTTTAACTTTTCTTCATCTTAAAAGAGTGTACAACTAAAGGTTAAAGTCAATCACAGAGAGTGCTTTGAGAAGAGGGTTAAAAATTGATTTTTTTAATTTTTTGTTTTTAATTTTTTTTACTCTTTATATGAGAAGTGTTGTGATTCAAAATAGATTAAAAGCTGACTTTTGACTTTTAACTTATGTTCCCAAATGATCCCATAGTATTCTAAAGTAATAATTTTGATTATAATTCAAAATAACATAAGGCTGCGTTTGGAAACCAAACATTTTAGTCATAAAATCAAAAAATAATTATAAATTATTAAATTATTTCCTTACATATTTTTTAATTTATAAAAAAACATAAAACATTATTAAAAATTCAATTCTCAAACCGATCCAATAATTGTCCGGGTACGAGTACAGGTGTGTTTTGCCAACGTACTTCTTTTAATAGTCCAAACAAGGCCAACAAGAAAGTTGAAAAGTAAGTTTGATCTGGCAACTTTGTTTGTATGAGTGGTGTTTTGAGAAATTAGTAAAAAAATTAATTTTTTAATTTTTTTAGTGATTTTTTGGATAAAAAATTGAGTTATTTTGAGTAGAAAAATTGATTTTTTTTTATTAAAAAAATTTAAAAGTCAAAAAATTGACTTATTTGACGACTTCCTAAAAGACCCCTGAATGAAGGGACAGAGTATACGACTGGTCCAGATTGGAACACGGTCTCGCACTTGGACTCGTGCTTAAGATTATTATTAACGCTTTGGCCGGCCAATTACCATTTACCATTGTGAAGGAGCTTAGCCACCTATGCAACTATCTCCTACAATGTCTCTTATAATTTTATTCATCTCCATATGTTTGTTATATAACTAATATTATATTTCAATTTGTTATTAACGCAACTATTTTAGTCACTGTAAGTGAATTTAGAAATTTAAATTGTGAATGTCAGACATCTTAGTTTTAAAATGGGTTTGGTTCAATTCTCACTCTCCACATGGGAACATCGGGCTGTCAAATTTTGAAAAATAATATATATTTATCTTTAAGTTTGGAAAAATTCTTTTATTTGTCCCTTTTATACTGTGTTTGGTTGGGGGATTTGGGAAGGGATTTGGAAAGAGAAATGAAAAATATAGGTGAAATGTGAATAAATCATGCCTATATTTCACATAGTTTCACACACCTTTTCCCTTTCCCTTTCCAAATCCCTCTTCAAATCCCCCAACCAAACACAGCATTAAAGAATTGTATATACCACTAAAAAATTCTTCAATAAAATGGACTCTTTTTTTTTTCTTTTTTTTTTTTTTTTTTCCTTCCAATTAAAACCCCTTCATTAATCTCACAAAAAAATTTATGGTATTATTCAATTTGTGATTTGAGATTGTGAGATTATGCAACTATATTGATTATGGGATTAAATACTGTTAAATGCAAGTTGTACATAGAGAGAGAGAGATTTTTGATTGCATTGATATTGTTATTATCAAGCAAAATTTTCAAAAATAAAATTCTCTGGATCAAGTTTAAAAGTGTACATTTAAAACTTGATTAATGAATTTTTATGTTTTTGTGTTTATTCTTAACGTTGATTGTGAAAAAGAAAATTCAAAATTATGATTAATGGTTATTCCTTTTGAATAAAATTTCTGACTCTCCCTTTGGGTGACGAGATACAGGATCTTGCTTTGGACTTCACCTAGTTTTTAGTGGTATTTTGAGAAGATGGTAAAAAATAATTTTTTTGCTTTTAACCAAGTTTTTTGGGAGTGATTTGAAAAGTTGGTAAAAAGTTACTTTTTTTTTGGATTAATATTTGTTTATGGTGTCACATCACACTAAAATGACTAAAATACTCTCACTCAACTTAAAAAAATTACATTTTACCCAAACCCACAAGATGTAAACTTTAAGGTTACATACGCAATTTTCCAAACTACTTTTTAGCACTTCCCAAATGAGCAAAAACACAACTTGACCTTCTGGTCAGCCACAAAATGTGATGTTTTTCTCCGATTTCCAAAAGAGCCTTTAGTAAACTAAACTAAATTAATCAGATGTTTGACATTCCTCTATAAAAGCAAAAGCAAACTCAAAGCATTCTTTAAAAAATTACAAGTTCTTAACTAAATTTATATTGATAACAACGTCCGCTTTGCTTCGAATTTTGGATCAATTGTGGGTTGAGTTTAATTTGAGCCCTAGCTCGCACATGATAGATAGAGCCTAATAGCTATGCACGATTCAAGTGCTTTACGAAATAGATATGTAATATTAAATTGGTCAAAATATCATTAAAATAGTTAGGCCAAGTTTGGAAAGACTAAATAAGTGTATTTTTTGACTTTTTTGTATTATGTGTAGAAAAAGTAGAGGGGAGATGTTGATTGATGTGACCCAAAAAAGATAAAAAGATAAAATAAGTGCACTTTTTTAGGTTAGCCAAACTTAGCCTTAGTCTCATGTAAAAAGTCACTTAAAATATTTTAGGGTTGGTTTGGGAAGTGGGTTGGCTTTTTGGCTTTTGGTTTTTTTGGCTATTTTAGCCTGAGCTAAAAAGCTTGGTTTGGGAAGAACTTTTTGATTTTTTGACTTTTTTAACTTTTTTTATGAGAGAAGAGTGTAATGATTATAGGTTGGATGTGATGTTTTGTTTTTTGTGGCTAAAATAACCTATTTTGTTTTTTTATGGCTAAAATAGCCAAAAAAGCCTCAACCAAGGCTTTCCAAACAAAGCCTTAATATGATAAATCCCTCGATTGGCTGTTTTTGGGCTTGAGGTCTTACATTTTGAATGAGACATTTTTTTGTAGACATTTTTGTCTAGGAGGTCATTTTTTTTCCTACTTCTCTATTTACCTTTTCCCCATTTGTCGTTGTTGATATTCATCAACATGATCACTCC